TGATAATCTGGTGGTAAGAGACGCAGGACCAGCCTTGCAGTTCAGGTTTCTCAATTCTTGCATGAGGGATGCAGTGCTTAGAAGAAATCTAATGCTAAGAGCTATCAAAACTAAATTAGGGTTTACTTGACTAACTTAAACTTAAAATCAAAACCTAATAAACAAAACTAGGAATAAAACTTAGGGAAATCAAGCTTAGCCTAGTTCCCTTGAAACTTAAAGTTTAAGAAGTATACTAGTAGTCATCGTAAATAGATAGAGTAGAAATAGAATGTACGTGAGAATGATAGAGCAGAGTAAGTGAGAATGGAGATGGAGTACTCTATTGAGGTGGGTTACCTCTTTTATAGGGCAAAGTGCCGGAAATCCTTCCTCCTAGGCCCAAATTTCATTCCTCACCCACAAAATGTTAGGGTACGCTTACCCAATAGGCTAGTATGTATGTGCGTATTGATGACAGGTATGTATTCACATCAGTCTCTTGTGGTGAACTTGTTAAGTCTGTGGGTACAACATTGAAAAAACCCCTATGCCATTCTCCATTGTCTATCGGTCTAGATAAAAGGTCATAGACACAGATGTGGGTACTTATCTATTTAGGTAACAAGATATAGGTCAACTTTGCTTTCTGAGTAAAAGGTCTTAATATAGATATGCTAACTTTGCCTTGGCTTAACGTACAGGATATGGCCTGTAGGTCTCTTGCATTACAGCCAAACTTACTTTAATATAAATCTATAAACCTATTACAATAAACCAAATACTTAAACTATGAGAATATATATATATATATATATATATATATATATATATATATATATATTAGTCCTATAGGTTTCATTCCTTAAACTACAAAGGCAAGAAGAGTGCAACATTGATCTCGCCACGTGTAGTAGCTACGACACGAGATTGCTTGTGTCGTTCACAGTGGAATGCTGCTTTTGGGCTTGGGAAACAAACACTGAATGGTGAGATCACATCATCATGCACATCTGGGATGATGAGCTTTTGGCTGCAGAACTTTCAGATGAGGAAAGCCACATTCATGGAACCGTGTGATGAGCTAACCCAGCCCTGCAGCTCAAGAACACAAGAATGAGAACTGCCCTGCCGTTGGAGAAGCGCATGGCGGTTGCACTGTGGAAGCTGGCTACTCCAGACTGCTACCAATCGGTCACTAACCAGTTTAGAGTGGGAAAGTCAACTGTTGGACTCATGTTGACGGAAGTGCGCATCCTGCTCCAAAAGACCATGACTCTGGGCAACATGCATGATATTGTTAATGGCTTTGCACAAATGGGCTTCCCTAACTGCGGAGGAGCAATAGATGGCATGCATATTCCAATTCTAGCACCAGACCACCTAGCCACTGAGTACATTAATCGCAAGGGATATTTCTCAATGGTTCTCCAGGTGCTTGTGGATCACCGTGGGCATTTCGCAGACATTAACACGGGCTGTTCCAGAAAGGTGCATAACACACGCATCTTTCAGAACACTGGCCTGTTCAGGAAGCTGCAAGCAGGGACTTTCTTCCCAGACCAGAAGATCACCATAGGGGAAGTCGAAACGCCCATTGTGATCCTGGGAGACCCCGCCTACCCCTTAATGCTGTGGGCATACACATGAGCCACAAGACCCTAAAATGGTGAGTAGCCACAGGGGCAGGGTAAATCACTCTTCCTGGACCGGATCCTGCTGTACACTGGGCACATGCCTCTTGGGGAGAGCCAGCACTGTAGGGCGGGCCTGATAATCATTCCTGTACCCACACTTTCCACAGGATGTGATCATTATGGAAGATATCTTGCTGCTGAGGATGAGCAGGGAATCAAGGGAGGAGCTTCGCCAAGACTGCGGCTTCCACCCTGGCCCTGGCCCCTATGCGGCTCACCTGTGTGCAGCAATGGTACCCCTATCTCCCCGTGATGGCACAGTGGCGCAGGAAAGTTACCGTTAATGGGGCAAGAAACAAAGCAACTCTGCTGAAGAACCTGTGGCAGCAGATTGCCCAGTATCTCCACGAGAGTTTCCTGGAGATCTCTGAGGGAGATTCCCATGAAGTGAGGGAGTCAATCAACAGCCTGTTCCACTGCTCAGATTACGCATGCGGTGGGAAACAAGCCTGCTTTCTTCAACCCTCCTGCCCCCAACAACTTGCTTCAGCGATTCCCCAAATCAAATCCGCTTACCAGGGGCCGCCTCTCCTGTTTGCGCTTCACCAACATCTGACGGTTGAGGCTAGCCAGCTGTGACTGGCTAGCCTCCTCCTGGCTGCATGCATCTCTGACCTCCGAGTCATCCTCTGCCTCTGGGTCCCCCTCAACATCCTAATCCAAGATTTCCTCCTCCTGGTTCAGTCCACTTTCGACTGGCACGCGAACCACTGAAGTATCCACAGTGGTCTTCGCAGTGGAGGTGGGGTCGCCGCCGAGTATTGTGTCCAGCTCTTTGTGGAACCGGCAGCTCATGGGCACAGCACCAGAGAGGCAGTTTGCCTCCTGTGCCTTGTGGTAGGCATTCCACAGCTCCTTCACTTTCACCCTGCACTGCACCGTGAAATCTGTCCATAGGTATCATAATTCCTATGTCTGGAGTGCAGCTGGGACTGCACAACCTCCTCTCCCCAAATGCCGATGAGGTCCAGCAGCTTGGCATTGCTCCAAGCAGAGGATCACCTGGTGCGTGGAGCAGGCATGGCCACCTGGGAAGATGCACTGAGACCACTGCACACATCACCGAGCAAACAGGAAGGGGACTTTCAAAATTCCAAAGGAATTTATGGGGTGGGGATGATGGTTGGTCACCTGAGGGCAGGGCAGTAGAGTTCAAACCGATGACCAGAGAGGTGAGAACAGGCATTGTGGGACATCTCCCAGAGGCCAATCACAGCGCTGCAATCAACCAGGATGTCTACACTGGCATCACGGTGCTGTAGCCCCAGCACAGAAAGCTCTACGCCTCTCGGGGTGGGTTTTTTTACAGCGCTGCAACTGCTCAGTTTCTGCACACTAAGTGGCTTGGCACTTGTGTACACCTCGGGAGTTACAGCGCAGAAAGCTGCTTTACTACGCAGAAACTTGCCAGTGTAGACACAGCCTCACAGTGTTAACACACAACAGTGCTCTCTGAGTGGTGCTGTAACTCTGCCAGTGCAGACATGCCCTGACTGCACACTTTCAGTGCCCTTATTAAAAAGTAAGTAAATAATATACCTATTGAAAAGACTGTTAAGCTTTAAAAGTTATTTCAGTTTAATAATTGAATGCATTTTTAGTAATATTGACAAGGAAACTTTTTTTTCTTTTCTTTTTATTAGGATGTCCTGATCCTGCAAACACTTGTGTACTGGCTTAATTTTACACATCTGAATAGCTCCATTGACTTCAGTGATACTACTCACATGCTTAAAATTAAGCTTATGCTTAAATTACCACAAGATCAGGGTCAAGGCTTTTTATCATGACAGTTTCCCTTCAAATACTGCAGATTTTAGGTTGTGTATACAGTAGTCTCAGCACTAGACAGCAGAAGGCAAGATTTGTTGATTGCTGCAATCTAGCAGGAAACCAGTTAATATTTTGTTTAAATTATGTCAGTGCCATTATGGAGCGGGGGCAGGCACATAAGTTAAACATGACAGCACTTCAGCAGGAAAATGTTGACTCTGTAGGTGTAGGGGTGGAATCGTACTGTGTAGAACGGCTGTCCTGCCTCAGCCCTGCTCCCTCCCACAATACAGTGCCCAATCCATGTTGAATTCCGGGGCAGGGGGGTGGTATTTTGCAGGGCCTGGGAAAAGGCAGGATGATGCTTCCCTTGCCAGACTCCTTGCCTCTCCAACAAGGAATCCCTGGACTTTCAACCTCTGTCTGCAAGGAGGAAGAGAAGTTGAAACCTCCTCCCCTTCAAGACTCTGCTCAGCTCTGTCCTGGCCTACAGTCTCTGCTTTCATATCCTCTTTTCCTGTTCCCGCTTCTGCTGCAAGAGCTCTTCCCAGCTGCTTCTCTAAATGCCACTTCTATATCTTCCACTTTTGTCTGGCCCCTTCAGTGCAAGCCTTTACACTTGAAATGCCCTCTCTCTCCAACATGCTTTAAGTATTCAAATCCTAAGCTCCTTAGGGTAGGAATTATTTCATCCTCTGTATAATGTACGGCACCAAGCACACTGATGGAGTTCAGTAAATACATGTGTATGGAAGATTTTGCAGAGTATCCCCAGCACTAATCATATGACCAGTTGCAATCAATCTTTTTACACAAGCCTGAAAGCCCCATGTGCTTACAGTGAACTTAGGCAAGTCCTCTGACCCACATTACCACAATATCTGTTTTGCATATTTTAAAGGAATTTCTCAATGTTCTTCTCACTCCCAGAAGGAAAAAAGCAACTGAATAGAGATCTTTCTTAAAATGACTTCCCAGCCTCCTGCGCTCTCTTTCACATACACTCACATATTTGGTTATATGGGTTAAATGTTATATACGACATTAGTTCTTCACAGATTGCAGTTAAACTTCACTGCTGTCACATCCACACATTAAAACTTACTAGACTCTGGCCCAGAGTTTAGATGTTTGGTTCTATGAGATTTTTGAAGGAGGTGCACATTTATATGTGCGGGCAGAATTTGCCCCCAAATTACTGTTGTTTCACACTCTCATTTGCTGTGCTGTTTTGCGCACCCTCAATCCACTCCCAAAAATGTTCAACAGGATGTAACCAATTTTAAATCTGACTTTATATGTTTTGCTCCAAAATACTTGTAATAAGTTCTAATTCCTCTGTTTTCCTTGTTCGGCTGATAACACGGGATATTGTTTCAGTTGAAACAACGAGGAGTCCTTGTGGCACTTTAGAAACTAACAAATTTATTTGGGCATAAGCTTTCGTGGGCTAGAATCCACTTCATCGGATGCATTAGTTGAGTTAGTAGTTAGCTCTTTGCCTGTCTTTGCCATTAAACCACATTATGCATGACTGTAATTATTACTCACCTCAGCTCAGGGTTCACTGTTGTAATGTAATTATAACACCTCCCGAGGATGACTTCTTGCAGATTTTTAGTGGTTCCTCTGCCTTTCCACTGTAGCAGCTCCATGCTAGTCTCTTTCATTCCATTTGCCAGCAGCACAGCAGCCAGCACAGCAACAATTGTCACTATCAGGACCATGATGACCACTAAAAGGACGGTACGCTGCCGTGTCCTGGAGGACCTGTTTTGCAAGGGCATCGTAGATTAAGTTTGTGAACAGCAGCAGCAACTGCTCTCCCGGTCACGACAGAAAAGTAGCTTTTTAATGTGCCAAATGGCACTCCCCCCTCCCTCTCTGCCTTCACACGCTGACTGACTGACGTGGAAGCTAACAGTGACCTGCTGCTTGCTGGGCTGAAATACCACATAGAAAAAGGAACAGCAGTATTGATTCAGACTGGAGCACAAAACGTACACGAACCAGTGGGATGGTTTATGCACATTTGCAATCTTATTAGCAGCATCTGTGACATTAAAGGATGTTGCAAAGATAGCATAGTGTCACTGGAGTTTCCTTACCTAAATAAATCAATGGGTCGCTTAGTGTGAAAGACCCACCTCTGACAGTAGCCTGTCCCTGATGTTTCAGAGGAAGGCCAACCCCCACCCATCCCCTCTCTACAACCTCCCTGCTTCCCACCATACATGCAATACTGTGGGCAGACGGGGCAAAAAAAGAAGTGGAAATTATTTTGTGCCTTGAAGTGGGAGGATTTGCCAGTCTTGTAACTTTTATTCTAGCTACTCCAAAGTGACTGACTGCAGATACTTTTGTTGCTCTTCAGTGTTTAATCCTCTCTGAATCTTTTAAAGCTATTTTGCCTCATTAATATCCTGTGGCAGTAAATTCCACAAGTTAATTGTAGAATACCAAACCCTGAAGTCCTTACTTGGTAAAGCTTGCAGGGAATAGAAGTTTGTCTACAGACAGAGCAAGTAACAATTGTGTAAAAATGGTCCACGCTGTCTGTATTTAATTTTGGAAAATCGTTTCCTCAATTTTAATTTGTGTCCCCTTACTCTTGCGAATGTAAGCATGAGCACTTGATTCACCCGTACTTTGCCATTAATTATTTTATATCCTGCAGACACACTAATAAACATCAACATCAACAGTGGCTTTTAGACAATTTTAACCAAAGCCAAAATGTTTTCCATAGTGAGAAAAATATATCTGAAAAGCACTTTTTCTTTCTCTTCCCCCCCTTTCTCTGCATATAATCTTGGATTGATTGTAAACCACTTCTAAGCAGAACCCTGTTAATTGTGAAGTGTTGTGGCTATGCTATAAAAGCCGACAGGGTGCAAACTATTCTCTGAGATTGAAATTGGTTTCTTATTCAAAGGCTAAAAATTTTTCAAAATCATCAATGCAAGATTTTTTTTTTAAATTACACTAAAATGTGATTGCATTTTATTGCCATTTATATTAGTAATTAACTATTGATTAACTCATAATTATTTATGTATGCAGTTTAGTTGCAGCCATGTCGGTCCCGGGATATTAGAGAGACAAGGTGGCTGAGGTAATATCTTTTATTGGATCAACTTCTGTTAGGGTATGTCTACTTACATTTTATTGCGCTCTAACTTGCTGGCTCAGGGATGTGAAAAATCACCCCTCTGAGCGCAGGAAGTCTGAGCGCTTTAAAGTGCTAGTGTAGACAAGCTCAGGCTTGTGGAGGTGGATTACTAGGAGCACTGGGAGAGCTCTCTCCCAGTGCTCCCGCACGACCACACTTGCACTTCAAAGCACTGCCACGGGAGCGTTCCCATGACAGCGCTTTGAAGTTTCCAGCGTAGACATACCCTTAGTGAGAGAGACAAGCTTTCCAGCTACATGGAGCTCTTCTTCATGTCTGGGAAAAAGAACAGGAGTACTTGTGGCACCTTAGAGACTAACAAATTTATTTGAGCATAAGCTTTCGTGGGCAACAGCCCACTTCTCCTGTTCTTTTTGTGGATACAGACTAACACAGCTGCTACTCTGAAACATGTCTGGGAAAGGAACTCCCAGAGTCACAGCAAAATGCAAGGGTGAGGAGATTGTTTATCATAAGTAGTTAGCACATATTGTAAGGGGCCATTCAAGGTTCAGTGGCCCATTAACACCTCTGTAGTCATAGGACAAAAAGGAGGGGGTTAGTGGGTAAGCCATAAATCCAGTATCTCTGTTCAGTCCATGATTTTTGGTGTCTTAACAGAGTAATGAATTTAAGCTCCCGGGCTCATCTTTTGAAAGTGTTGTGCAGGTTTCCTGTGAGGATGAGGACTGAAAGGTCAGATATAGAGTGATCACCCCTCAAGTGATAGAGTATTTTTGTCTTACCATTTTCCTGTGAGAGTTCATTTGAGAGCATAATGAGGGTCTGGTTTCACCCACTTGGTACTTGTTATTGGGGCATTTAGTGCACTGCGCTCAGGAATGAACTATATGTGCTAACTACTTATGCTAAACAATCTGTTCAATCTTACATGTTTGCTGTGACTCAGAGTTCCTTTCCCAGACATGAAGAAGAGTTCTGTGTAGCTAGAAAGCTTGTCTCTCTCACCAACAGAAGTTGGTCCAATAAAAGATATTACCTCACTCACCTTGTCTTTCTAGTAACTACTTAGGGCTTGTCTACACTTACATTTTATAGCGCTCTAACTTGTTGGCTCAGGGGGGTGAAAAATCACCCCCCTGAACGCAGCAAGTCTGAGTGCTTTAAAGCGCTAGTGTAGGCAGGCTCCGAGCGCTGGCTCGGAGCTAATCCCCTCATGTAGACATACTCTTATTCAAATAAAGAAATCGGCTTTGACTGGCTTTACGTGACAAAATACTTCTTGAGCCATCCCAAGTGACACATTCCTGTGACATGCCTCTCCCAGAACCGATTCCTTATTCTGATGACATAAGTCTTCTTAATTTGTCACAGAAATTATATAGACAGTTCAAGTATTACGGCTGGATTTGCAACAAATTGGTTGAATATTGTTTTTGGCTGGTGTACATTGTATGTTTACTAACAAAAAAATGCAAAATAGAAAGAAGGGTACAATATTTGGCAGAATTTTGCCCAGAAATGAAGCTTCATCTGTGGGAGTGACCCAAGAAGTATATTGTCACACACATCCAGTCAAAAGCCTACTTCCTTATTTGAGTAACTATTAATATATATAGTGAATTAATTATGTATATAAATTTTATAATAGAATTCAGCCACATTTATTTTGATGAAATTTCTAAAAATTTCATCTTCTGTTGATACATTTTAGAAAAATTTTGACCTTTGAATATGGAACTGGGAACAGTAAATAAGGAACCATCTTCAGCCTCATCTGTTTTCCCAGTTATGTCAGACGTCTTACTTCAAGTGTTTTGATCAACTAGTTTGATGGAGTCTGTGGGAAGCATTACTTATGATCTAATCTTTAGAGGAACTGAGCACCTGTAGCTACCCTTGAAGTCAGCAAGAGATACAGCATGCTCAGAAAATCAGATCCTTAGTAGGTTTGGAGGCAAATTGACTTATGTAGGCACTCCTGCTGAAAGGCAATGTAATCCTGGCTTCTAGCAACGTGCTTTGTAGTCTTCTAACTTACAACTAGAAAATGTAACAAGGTTCTCTGTATAATCATAGGAATGCTGGAATTGCCATGGCGGGTAAGGCTGATACCACATAAAATTGGCTATCTTGTCTCCCAACAGTGGCCAGTATCAGATGCCTCAGAGGAAGGAAATCCCATCCTAGACAATTAAGTGACAACTTGCCCATAAGGAAAGTTTTTCCTACCCCCTCTCAGTTAGCAACTGGCTTATATCCTGAATGAGGATAAATGTCCCCTATTTTTATCTTATTTAATCTAATAAATACTCTCATTTATCCATATTCATGTCCAATCTGTTTTTTTTTTTTTACTAAATTCATGGCCATAATGATATCTTGTGAATGAATTTTACTGGTTCCTAGTCATTTGTGAGGGTTTTTGTTTTGTTTTTTTGAATAGTTTTCTTTTTTTCTGGTCTGGATCAGACCAGTGATCCATCTAGCCCAGTATCCTGTCTTCTGACAGTGTTCAGTGCCAGATGCTTCAGAGGGAATGAAAGAACAGGGCAATTTTGAGTGATCCATCCCATCGTCCAGTCCCAGCATCTGGCAGTCAAAGGCTTAGGGACACCCACAGCATGGGGTTTAGTCCCTGACCAATAGCCGTTGATGGACCTATCCTCATTGAGTTTTATCTAATTGGTTTTAGAATCCAGTTATACTTTGAGCCTTCACAACATCCCCCATCAATTTCATTGGGTAACCCCTGGTTACTGTGTTATGTGAAAGTGAATAGGGAAGTCCTATTTATCCTTTCTCCACACCATTCATGGTACAGACCTCTATCATATCCTCCCCTAAGTCATCTCTTTTATAAAATGAACAGTCTTTTTAATCTCTCCTTTTTAATCTCTTTCAGATGTTCCATACATCTGAACACTTTTGTTGCCCTTTTCTGTATTTTTTTTCAAATTCTAAAGTATCTTTTTTTGAAATGGGGCAACCAGAATGGCACGTGGTATTCCAAGTGTAGGTGTATTATGGACTTGTATAGTGGAATCATGTTTTAATAGCTATCCTCCTCCTAATGGTTCCTAATATTCTGTTAGGGTTTTTTGGTTTGGTTTGGTTTGATTTTTTTGACTGCCACTAAACATTGAGCAGATGTTTTCAGAGAACTATCTACGTTGACTCCAAGATGTTTTTTCTTGAGTGGTAACAGCTAATTTAGACCCCATCATTTTGTATGTATAGTTTGGAAAAAATAATCCCATGTGCATTACTTTTCCCCTATCAACATTGAATTTCATCTGCCATTTTGCTTTCTGCGAGTCCAAGTACATTACATTGACTGGTCACCCTTGTCCACATGCTTGTTAACCCCTCAAAGAATTCTAATAGATTGGTGAGGCATGATATCCCTTTACAAAGCCATGGTGACTCTTCCCCAACGTATCATGTTTGTTTGTGTGTCTGATAATTCTGTCCTTTACAGTAGTTTCGATCAAATTGCATGGTAATGAAGTTAGATTTAGCAGCGTGCAGGGGCGGCGCTTCCACTAGGCAACCCTAGGCAGTCGCCATGGGTGGCAGGATTTGGGGGGCGGCATTTTGCCGCCCTCGGCAGAAATTCGGCGGCGGGGGGTCCTTCCGCTCTGGGTCTTCAGTGGAAATTTGGCAGCGGGTCCTTCACTCACTTCGGGACCTGCCGCCAAAGTGCCCTGAAGACATGGAGC